CCTTTCCCCCCTGATCTGTATTCTTGCTTCCCTTTCTGATCTGTCTGGGAGCCTGAGCCTCTAAAAGCTGCTGCTATTATATTGGCCCTTCTTTGTATTCTTTTTTTCCCTCCTTCCTTGCCGCACTGTCTCAGTTGATGAAAACCTTGTTTGCTATCTCTAACAGTTTGGTAACATTTTTTCTGCAAATCCTTCCAGCTTCTGTAATTTTCTCCTGATATCAGGCTGGGCTTGGCCTACAAAAGCGGCATTTACCATGGTTTGATTTTCTGGGGCCTCAGGTTTAAAGGGGGTGTAGATCCAGTATGCCTCACACTGTCTCTCATAGAAAGCTGCTGGACTTTCATCAGGCTTCTGGAAAACCTCAGAGATTTTAGCCATATTGGTGGGCTTCTTGGCTCTGGCCCTGACCCCCTGGAGGAAGGCCAGCTGATATCTTTCTAGCCCGGCCCTTCTGTCTTCTGAGTTCAGGTTCCAATCGGGTTTTTTTTTGGGGAAGGCCTCCCTGGCCCACCTGTTTGTATCTAATATCTTGCCGGGACCTGGGTCTGGAGCCACTTCTGAGCCTGTTACTACTCTAATGTGCTCCTCAGTGTTAAAGAACATGAAAAGGAGCTGCTTGCAGTCCACCCAGGTGGGCTTCTGGGTCTGAAAGATCATTTCTAGGAGGTCTACCATGGCCTGAGGTTTTTCAGAATAAGCTGGGGTGTGATGTTTCCAATTTAGGATGTCACTTGTGGTAAAGGGCTGATAATAATAGACTGGCCCTCCCTCCTGCAAGGTCCCATCTTCACAAGTACTTGGGCACCCCGAATCTCCCTGAGAGGCATCTGACATGCTGGTTGTGGCTTGGGCCCTTGATCAGCTGAACGCAAGCGCTGCCCAACTGGCTCTGGAGAGCCTGGTTGAGGAGAGACGAAGGGGTGTGGTGTTTCCAGACTTTCTGGACCTTCCAGACCAGCAGGGGGAGCACTTGGTGCTGCCTGTGGCACATATGGAAGTGGTAAAACTGGCGGGACTTCCTCAGGGGGTCCTGGCAGAACAGGGGGCTGGGTTCCCTTCTGAGAGACCTGTTTCTTTTCTCCTGCCTGCTTCTCTTCTGCTTTCTCCTGTCCTGCCTGCTTCTTTTCTCCTGCTACTAAAATCTTACTCTGTCCCTTCTTACACATGCAGAACTGGACCCAAGGCGGCAAGGTTTGAGCAATTTCTAACCTGCTGTCTATTGTAAGGAGACTGATCTGGGTGTCCAGGGTCCTTCGTGACTACATTCCAGACTGCCCTGACCAGTCTTTCATTTAAAGAGCCTTCCGAGGGCCAGCCAACCCCGAAGGCTGGCCATTCTAATTCACAGAATTTCTGCAGTGTTTTGGGGTTCATTTTAATACCATAGTCTCCATTGAAACCCTTTTTAAAATTTTTCAACATGTAATTGAGAACAGTGGGTTTACTTTTTCCTGACCCCATGATGATCGGTGGCGAGAGACAGACAAGGGAGGGGGTGACCTGTTTTCACAGATCCTCACTCAGATGCCCGCCTGGCCGTGTCCCTTTGGGGGTTTGGATTTGTCTTAGCTAAGGTGCACCCGTATAAACCCTGGGCCTGGTCACCTCCACGTGGGGGTGAGTCACCGTTATGCCTTATGACAAATCTCAGAACTGCAGGTTGGGGCCCATTCAGACTCCGTAACCAAGGTCGTGGAGCCACACAAAGGATAGGAGAGGGCAGGCCCTCTCCCTCCACACTCAAACCCTTTCACCAGACATTCACTCAGAGTTTTAAAAAACAGTCCACTCGATTCCTGACTAATTTACCTAATGAAGTCATATGACTTCCGGGAAGGTGATCAAGCTCCCCCTTCCACTCACTTGGAGTGGGCCTAACTGATGGGGGCCCCTACCTTACTGATTCTGTCGACAGGTCCAGAAGTGTCTGTCCACTTTCTCCAGATGCTGGCTGGGTCCTAGGCTGAGGTCCGGGAGTGTCCTGAGTCCCCCCCGTTCAATTCTGCTAAAATCAGCAGGGCATGCCTTCCGGAGGCCTATCCCATGCCCCCAGGCCCCAAGCCCTATCCCCTCACTGGAGGCCAAAAAGGCCAAGTGCAGTTGGGTTCCCGGTCTCAGGGAACCAGTTGTTGCAGAAGACCACAGAAAAACCAAGCGATGCTTTAGAGGAAAGGAGTGACACTGTTTATTTACGCCAGCAGACTCAGGCTATAACTTTCCAAATCTGAGTAAAGTAACATGCAGGGGGCTTCTCCTTTATATCTCCCTGTGGTCTTTGTCCTGCAAATATGGATTATGCTTCCGGTTCTTTTCACGGGCCTTGCAAGAAGGCCCCCAGTTGTTGGGGGTCTCTGGGCCATATCTGATGCTTTGGTCTGGTGCCAGTGTTAATAATCCTCCCTCCAGGGCAGTGCACTGTTCAATTTTATGGCCTCTGTAACAGGTTCTGCAAGACAAGTTTCTGGGAAAGAAGTAATGACTTATTTATAGGTTATCAAGAATGTACACTGGGCTGGCTGGCATGGATTCTGATTGCTAGCCCCCCAAATATCAGGGTTACATTGGAATTAGCTTTTTAGCTTCCTCAATGGTATAAGACAATAGCTGGAGAGTTTACTCATCTATTAGCAGGTCAGATCTGAGAAAGGTGAGTATAAAGGGGATAATTTGTAACTTTCCTTTAGGTGCAGCTCTCATTCTCATGAGGCCTATGGGTAACATAGACACCCAGGACTCTGCAGCTTTTTGGCATAGCTTGGTTAGAATCCTTTTTAGGGTTTAGTTAGGTTTTTTTTTTAATTTTTTTAATTTTTTTACTTTACCCAAGAGTTGAGGTTTTCATGATGAGTGTGATAGTTGATTTCTAAAGCTTGAGTCAGTTGTGTAATTTTGGCTATAAAAGAGGGTCTATTGCCACTCTGTAAGTTTCTTAGTAGTCTATATTTGGGTAATATTTCTTTAAGTAAGTACATGGCCACTTCAGCAGTTTTTCTGTTTTGGTAGGAAAGGCTTTAATTTATTTGGTCAGTGTCTATAAATACTAGCAAATATTTAAATCCAGCTTTAGGGGGGATATGAGTGAAATCAATTTGCCAATTCTCCCTGGAGTGCTCCCATGTTGAATTGGTGTCCGGAGGGGAGAAGGAGCGAGGTAACTCTGAGGGTTATTTTTCTAGCAGAGCACACACCCTCAGGTCACGTTCTTTATAGTTTTATGAAGGCTTTGTGTCACAAACAGCTGGGAGACAAGGGTGGTGAGAGTATCTCTCCCCAAGTGAGTGTCATCATGGAGCACTTTGATGTACAGTTCCATGATAAGGTTTGAGGTAACAAAAGTTTATTGTCCTTTGACATCCAGCCTGCTGGGTTTGTAGAGAATTTATTCTCAAAGGTCCAAGATACTTCCTCTGTGGCGTAGCAGGGGCCTTCAGGGAGCTAAGGGAGGTGGGGAACAGAGCTACCTCTAGGGTGATTGATGAAAACTGTGCTGCTATCTTAGCTGCCCAATCTGCTGGCAGTGGTTCTCAACCTTGGCTGCACATTAGAATCACCTGGGAATCTTTTTAAAATCCTGATTTCTGGGCCTCATCCTCTGGAAATTCTGTTTCTTTGTTACTAATGTTGTGGCCTCACCCCATAAGAAAGAAACAGAATTTCTGGAGGATGAGGCCCAGAAATCAGGATTTTAAAAAGATTCCCAGGTGATTCTAATGTGCAGCCAAGGTTGAGAACCACTGTGCTAATGTATTGCCTTTGATTACATCTGTGTCCCCCTTGTGGTGGCCCTAGCAGTGTATTATTACAGTGGGGCCTTGACTTATGAGTGTCCCGACTAACGAGTTTTTTGAGTTGATAGAGTAATTTGAGTTAACGAGCTCTTTAACGAGCTCGGTCTCAGAACGAATTAAACTCGTAAGTCAAGGCCCCACTGTACTTCTTGGAGGCGTTACAGATGTCAGTAGTGTTAAGGTTTTTGGCCCGTGACACAGGCTGTGAAAGAATTCACAACTAAAAGAAGAGATAGATACAGAGAGAAAGTTTATTTTACTTCCCTAAAGGGAAAAGGTCTGTGCATTGCTAATCAATGCAAAGGCAAGGAACAAAAGCTGCCCTACTCCCCCTTTAAAGCCTTGGATAGTAAGGGAGGGGGATTTTCCGGCTGCTGTTATTGCTAAGTGAAATTGAGCAGACATCAGGAGGGTTGTCTTTGTTAGTTCTTCAGGAGACAGTCCAACAGATGTCCTAGGGAGGTATCTCATCAGTATTTTTCCCAAGTCTGTAAAACATTCTTAGAGCAAAAGTTATTATGAAGAGTTCAAAAGAGGCTTGTTTGAAAAGGAGGGGGAAAGGGATGGAACTTTCTGTTCATTATTCCTGGGTTGTAAACCAGCAGGAAGGAGGGGTATGTATGTAAGAATGAAGTCTTGAGAGTCGTTTATCTTGTCCCTCAGTTTGAAGAGAGGGCCTGAACCAGAGGAGCTAACAATCTTGGGGTTTAAATTATTAGGTCCTTCTCCTTAACTGTGGAAGGCTACAGCAAAGAAAAGGAAAAGCTTTCTTTTTTCCTTCTAACACTCCCCCCTCAGAGATTCCCATCCGTAAAATCTTTTAGGGTTAATGAGGCAGCAAGGTCCATCTTCTGTAATTGCTTCCATTCTGTTAAGGGGCATCAATACTACTTGAGAGTTCAAATGAGAGTCACCTGGGGAGAGAGGTCTATAATGGAAGTCCTGAAGTCTAGGGCTATGCTTCAAGGAGTGGAGGACAATTATACAGTGGGGCCTTGACTTACGAGTGTCCCAACTAACGAGTTTTTCGAGATATGAGCCGTCTCTCAGCCGATTTTTTGCTTTGAGTTTCGAGCTAAAATTCAGGTTATGAGCCAGCTTCAGATACCCCACCGCTAGTTGGCGCAGTGAACATCACAGAGAACGCCACAACATCAGCCCAGAATCACGTGTCTCACTCGTTCACTTTTTGATTTGACATACGAGTAATTTGAGTTACGAGTTCTGTCACGGAACGAATTAAACTCGTAAGTCAAGGCCCTACTGTATTAATGTTTAGTTATTACATTACTTATTGTATAGGTTTTTTTGTATCTGGAAGAGGAACTTGATGTCCTTATTAGACTCATAAGAGTAGCCCATTGATGTTCCTGTGGGGACTTAAAATAGGTTTATTTCGAGATAAAAAAGTAGGTCATAAAAAAGTTAGGTATTTGTTAAGGTCATAGGCATATAACCTATACAAACAGAAAGAACACAAAGTTTAATCAATATAGAGAATTATAAACCAATTGAGAAGGCTTTTGCTGGAAAGAAAGTAAGCAGTGACAATTTGATAGATTGTCTGTAGGTAGAATATCTCTGATGATGTTATCAGGTGCTGAGGTCTGTATAAAACTTTCTTAAAACTTTGAAAACAGTTAATTGCAATGGAGTTTAATACCTACAATTGGGCATTGTGATTTTTATTGAAACAAAATTTCTCTCCCTAAAATCACCCTCATTTTTATTAAAGAGACTGTATTAGGTTTTAACTTGACCTTATTATTTGTATAAACACAATAAGAATAGTAACTGATTATAAGTCTCTTTTAGATTTACTTTGCTGGAATTTCACTTATAAGAAATACCTAGGTTGAGCTTCCGTCAGCCCTTCAGGACATAGAAGCCAAGCCACACAGTTGCCATCTGGCTTTGCCTGTAAGGGTCTGAGTGGATTCCTCAAGTTCTTGAGGTCACCAAAATGTCTTGAGGTTCTCTCTGCCATCTCCCAGGAAAGCAACCTTTGTTCCTTACCTGGAAAGAGTGCTGTGAACCAAATGAACAAGCAAGGTACCAGGCCATTTCTCCAAGGTAATCTTATTGGCTTTAAAGTCAGTCTTTTATTCCTTAAGGCTTTTGGTGACATCCAGAGTCCTAGCATGTCTCTCTCAAACATGACATTCCAGTCAAAGTCTTGGTTAATAGACCTGCAATTGGAACTTGGTTTTATAAAGTGAATAGATTCTTATTGGATTTATGCAAACAAATATATTTCTATAAAAATAATGCTCACTCATTGAGAGCTGTCAAATTCTGGAGGGATCAGGTAGGGAGAAAAACATAAATGCCTCAATATTGTTTATGAAGGTATAATTTATTAAATAAACTTTCTTATACCTGGAAAACAGAAATATTTCTTAAAAATTAGTGATGTTTTGAACAAAGTCATAATAATAATAAATGACAAACTTAAAATGACATGGTTATAGACTTGACTATAAAACAATTGACAAAGAACCTTGCTTTTCTGTAAGATATAACATTCCAGGATAACAATTTCTTGGCAAATAATAATTGTTATGAAGTGACATAAAGTTTATATTCTTAGATTCAATGTAGAATTTTAAGATATAAAGAACAAACAATATGCAAGATTTTAAAATGCTGCACATAGCTTATTAGAAGTGTACATTGAGTACTGGAAACAATTTATAAATGCCTCAATGTGTGGATCACAAACATCTGAAGTTCTACCACCAGATGTCTCCAATAGGGAACTATTACACTAGGCTTGTCCACTGTCATGGACAGGATACTTGTTACTTCTGAGAATTTCCCATTCGAACTTGGCTCTGGATCTTCGTATGTTCCTTCCCAGTGTAAACTGAAATTTACAGAACATTCATTTTAATAAAACATATGTATACAATTAATTATAGTTATTATCTTTAATTTTTATTTGGTAAAAGCTTCCCATGTAATTTTTCAAGCATATTAAATAGGCCTAATTAGTTTAAAACTTAGGAGAGAGAATAAGTCCTTGAGGTATTTCAGGGCCCATAATAATAAGTTAAAGTCATTTTTCTGTTAAAAAAGGCTTTTGGAATTTAAACTTTGGGAAGATTGTCAAATATACTTAACCAAAATATTATATTGTAAATCTTTTATAAATCTAGGTAAAATAAATGTATAGTTTTATGGTAATAACTTTAAAAGATATTACTTAAATTTAAACCAGTTTTAATATTAAATATTTTGTCTATAGGATCTTGCTTAATTTTTTGTCAGCCAATGAGATATTATATCCTAGTAGTGCCATCCAGAGGCAGAAAACACACCACATACATAAAGACCATACACATGATTTAGATTATTAATTTTTGTAGAGAAGACATAAGATTTTTTATTTGTTTTTGATTACTTTTAAGATAACTAAAAAGAGGGAGAGAAGTTCCCAAACACCAAGCAGGAAGACCTATTGAGACTTTCAATGAAAGTGTTAAGGGCTGTGATGGTGGAAACAAAGTCTAGGCTCCAATTTAAGGACTTAAGCAACAGGAGGGAGCCTTGGTGGTCCGCTTTGGTTCCCTGAAGTTAGAAACCCTGGTGACATGACAAGAGTGGGGTTGTTAGAAATAATAGGACAGAAGGGGTCCCTTCAAATGTCAAGGGTGATCAGGACCTGACTCACTGGACCTCGTTACCCAGGTGTTGTCTGGGGATGGTCCTGCGGATGGGTGACTCCATATACAGCAGACAGGTTTATCTTTTATTTAGTACTAGAGTCCCGGTGCACGGATTCATGCAGGGGGAGGGGAGGTCCCTCAGCCTGGCCTGCACCCTCTTGCAATCTGGGACTCCTCGGGGGATGTAGCAGTGCGCCAAGAGGCAGGCGGCCAGGGAGGAGCCTGAGCAGGTTCCACGCTGCTCACTCTCATCCCAGACCACTGCACCTGCTGCAGAGTTGGGAGAGGCTACTGCCGCCGCAGCTGCACTTGCCAGCCATGAGCCTGGCTTCTGGCTGAGTGGCACTTCCCTTGTGGGAGTGCACTGACCCCCAGGGTGCAGCTCCTGCATTGAGTGTCTGCACCCAGGTGGTCAGTGTGTGTTATAGTGACTGCTTGACTGGTTGTTCCAGTTGTTTGGTCATAACGGTTGCTTAGGCTTTTATATATATAGATTAGAGGCCCGGTGCATGAAATTCTTGCATGGGTAGGGTCCCTAGGCCTGGCCAGCAATCAGGGCCGATCAGGTTCCCTGCCTCCCCACCTCCTCCTTCCCTCGCTTCCTCAGTGCCCTGCTGCTGCCGCCTGCCATGTTCCACATCGCCCCCTGGTAGTCAGTGCACATCATAGCAAGTGATCAAACTCCCAGTCTCACAGTCGAATTCCCAAAGGGACACTTTGCATATTAGCCTTTTATATATATAGATTATATATACAGATTGCCGTGTATTGAGAAAGAACTTACTCTGCAGCCAGACAGGTAGGTAGGTTTCCCCCACACAATGACAAAGAGCAAGAGAAAGTGTAATGGAAGTAATCCTAGGTCCTTTTAAAGAAATTAGCTGGAGGAAGGGGACTGGAGCCTGACTGTTTTTGTTTTTTTTTTTAAACTTAAAACTTTTACAAACTTTTTCAACCTTCACAACCTTTTATAAACCTTTCTAAAATTTGCACAAACCTTTTTATCTATCTATACTGATAAAAGGGTAATATGTTAATTAGACCAGACATCTTCCAGATGACCTTCCAGACGTCCTTCCGGACAAAGCCATGGTGGTGGGGCTGAGGCAGAGGTGGTTAGGGGCAATCAGGCCGGCAGGGGAGAGCAGTTAGGGTGATCAGGCTGGCAGGGGGGTCAGTTAGGGGTGATCAGGCCAGCGGGAGGCTGGTTAAGGGTGATCAGGCCAGCATGGGGGGTGGTTAGGGGCAATCAGGCTGGCTGGGGGGGTGGTTAGGGGCAATCAGGCAAGCAGGGGGGGGGGCGGTTAGGAGTGATCAGGCAGGCAGGCAGAGGGGTTAGGGGCAATCAGTCAGGCAGGCGAGTGGTTAGGAGCCAGCAGTTCCAGATTGCAAGAGGGATATCTGACTGCCGGTCCTCCTTAAATTGGCAGTCAGACATCCCCCGAGGGGTCCCGGATTGGAGAGAGTGCAAGCTGGGCTGAGGGACCCCCCCCCCCATGCATAAATTTCATGCACTGGGCCTCTAATCATCACTAGAATAACTCAACTTCAATTTTTGTTCTGCAAAAACGTGTCTCTATACTTTGTCATCTATTATTATACCCATATACTTTTTTCTCAACTTAATTTGAACTTTTAACTCTTAGAAATCTCAATTTCCAATGATAACCAAAAGTAAATACCAGCATTCCTTAGATTGATGTTTATGAACACATTTTAAATATACTCTTACTTTCAAGAAAACACACCTTCAACAAAGTATAACATTATGTAATAGTTTCAAATTCACTTTATAGACTTTTTGCAATAAAAAGCTAAAAGCAGGCAAACTTAATTAAGACTTGTCTAGTAATCAATGTTTCAGTATTTCATGTAATTTTAAAATATCTAGATGTTTAATAACTTTATTTAACCCAGCAATATTTCAAGATTTTTTAATTTACCAAAGACTTTGGAAAACTATATATAGGCAAATATAATTATTACTAAAATGCTTTATCAAAAACCATTTATTTTAGTTATACTTATTTATTGTCTTAACTTTGATATTTTAAAGCCAATTATTATTCATTTTCCTGATAAATTTTGTAACAGGAATAACATAACCTTGACAACTTTTAGGAGGCTGGAGAAAAGATGGGGGGAGACATTAGGGGGATTAGGGCAGAGTGGCAGGCCCCACAGCTTGTTCCTAGGACTGCACTCCCAGGCCTTCAGGTGCTTGGATTCAAAAACATCGTATTCTTTTCTTTATAAGGGGCGGTGCCCCCCTCCTTGCTGCTTCTGCAGCTTTCACAAGGACATTGTCACAGTTCCTGCTCTCTAGGAGAATTTGGAGTGTTTAAAAGGATTTACTTTTATAAATTTTCTTTAATTATATTACCCAGGGGCTTAGAAAGACATGACTAAAAGTGAGATTCCAAAGGCTGCAGTTGAAGGGGTAGAGTGAAAGGGTATTGTTGAGGATGCCCATTCACCCCAGTGATCAAACAGGTTTTGGAAGAAAGAGGCCGTGGTGAGAGAGTCAGAGCAGAGAAAGCAACCCCCACATCTAATAAGATCTAATTAGCTTACCTGTAACATCAAGGGCCACCCTTGGCTCCTTCCCTTCAAAGGTAATGTTCTTAGTGGGGGTGATAAGATCATTGGACCCCATCAGCTCAAGGCCATTGTATGGGTAGGTTCTGATCCTGGGGACCCTCCAGCCAGTCACCAAACTTGGGACAGAGGGGGCACGGCCCTTGAGGTGACAAATGGCTTAAAACTGAGTCCTTTGTTTCTATGAAATGGCTTTCTTGCTCTTCCTCTGCCCTGTCTCAGGTATTAAAAGTACTGAAGGTGCCCAGCCGGCGTGGCTAAGTGGTTGAGCCACTGAACCAGGAGGTCTTGGTTTGATTCCCAGTCTAGGCCTGGGTTGTGGGCTCAATCCCCATTGGGGAGCCTGCAGGAGGCAGCCCATCAATGATTCTCTCTCATCACTGATGTTTCTAGCTTTCTCTCCCTCTCCCTTCTTCTCTGAAATCAATGTTTTAAAAAAAGTACTGAAAGTTATTTCTACTGGTTGCTCAGTGGGGGTCTGGGGTTCTAAGACTAGTTTCTGGTAACTTTCCTAATACCTGAGGCTGTCAGTTGAATAAAATGCATCACTAAAGTGCTTGGCCCTTAACAGAAATTATAAAGGGCTAGCTTAGACATAGAAAAGGGAACACGCATCTGAACAACTCCTTTAACAGGCTTTCTGATGAGTGTTTTGGGTTTCTTAGGCTATGTTCCTAGAAGTGGGATCACTGGGTCAAATGGCAGTTCCTATTTAATTTTTTTGAGGAAACTCCATACTGTTTTCTGTAATGTCTGCACCAGTCGGCACTTCCAGAAACAGAGAAGTTGGAGAAGAGAAGTTAACTCTATCCCGGTGAGGGCCACCAAAATGTTAGGGTTTTTGGCCAGTGTGGGCCTTGAAAGAATTTATTTTACTTCCCCCAGAGGGAAAGGACCAGTGCATTGCTAATCAATGCAAATGCAAGGAACAAAAGCTGCGCCTCCCCCCCCCCCCCCCCCCCCCCCCCTTTTAAAGCGAGGGATTTTCGGGCTGCTGCTATTGCTAGGTGACATTGAGCAGAGCTTAGGGTGGTTATCTTTGTTAGTTCTTCAGGAGACAGTCCAACAGATGTCCTAGGGACCTCTTATCAGTATTTTTCCCATGTCTGTGCAAAAATTATGAAGAGTTCAAAAGAGGCTTGTTTAAAGAGGGCATGGAAGGTGGAAGGAACTTTCTATTCATTATTCCTGGGTTGTAAACCAGACGGAGGAGGGGTATGTATGTAAGAATGAAGTCTTGAGAGTAGCTTATCTTGTCCCTCAGTTTGAAGAGAGGGGCTATTTGAACCAGAGGAGCTAACAATCTTGGTGCTTCTCTTAAATTGTGGAAGGCAACAGCAAGGAAAAAGAAAAGCTCTTTTTATCTCCTTACAAGTAGTCCTAAAATTTCTTTATGGTGTTTTATGGGGGAGATTTTTTGCTGTCAAAAGTGCTTTGCTTTATGTGTCTTTTTTTCTTTCTGAGTTTTTCCCCATTTGCATTTCCCTTCTTGAATTCCTTCTCCAATGTCATTTTTTCCCCCTGTATGTCCCTTTTCCCAATGTCCTTTCTTTCTGCAATATGCATATCCCTTTTTTAATCCTTTCTCACCTTTTTCATTTCCTCAATCCTTTCTCGTTTTGGTTTTTACCTCTATACAATCCTTCAATTTGCATGAACCCTCTGAAACTTACACAGAGGGGTGTAAGTTTCTACAATGTACACAAACCTGTGATTTACAGACTTTCTTCAATGTACATAACCTCTCTGCAACTTTCCTAGTCCCTCTTAGTTTGTTTCTTCTTGCCTCATTCAGAAATAACCAACTTTAAAACAAACTACTTTTTTATTTTTATTTATTGATTTCAGAGAGGAAGGGAGAGGGAGAGAGAGATAAAAACATCAATGATGAGAGAGAATCACTGATTGGCTGCCTTCTGCACTCTCCCCACTGGGAATCGAGCCCACAACCCAGACATCTGCCCTTGACTGGAATTGAACCCAGAACCTTTTAATCTGCAAGCCGATGCTCTATCACTGAGCCAAACCGGCTATAGCTAAAAGAAACCACTTTCAATTCTATATTACCAATACCACATTCTTTTTCACCCAACTTAATTAGAATTCTTAATTCTTAGAAACTTTAATTTTTAGTGACAACTAAAAGCAATACATTTAATAACTTTCAGAAATCGTTTTTTTAATTGGCAAATACACTCACATTTTTAAGAGGCATAACAGAGATAACATGAATCATTCCTTTGGTGTCCTTGACCACTTTTAGGAGGCTGGAGAAGAGACAAGTGGAAATATCTGGCTTGGGTATTTCAGTGGCTTCGGTTTTAAAGTACCATTTTCCCTTTCACATTGAGATGGGGAGAAAAAGTTGCCTCTGCTGCTTCCCCAACCTGCACAGGGTTTGGGGGTGGTATTAATTCCCCATTGTTCTCAGGGCCGCAGCAGCTCCTGGATCTCCAGAAGGAGGATATAGAATATTTTAAAAGACTCACTTTAACAAAATTTCCTTCAATTACCTTAGCCTTGTTTACAGTTTTAATTACCCAGAAGCTTATACTAGACAAGATGCCCCTCCCTAATAAGGGAATGAAGCATCCCGGATCTATAAGAAAGGCATAATTAAAAGCGAGATTCCCAAGGCTGCAGCCTAAGGGTAGAGTGAAGTGGTAGTGCCGAGGATGCTCATCCACTACTGTGTATGAGTTCCCCCACGTCCCGCGTGGTTCAGGGTTCAGGATCTGGAGGAGGGGCTGCACACAAATGACAGAGACGAGACAAGAGATAATTTGGAAATATTGGGGGGCCAGGCAGGCAAGCCCAACTCAAGGGGAAGGACTTCCACTGGTGCCCAGGCCTCGCCAACCTTTTATTCAACTCTGGATACACATAAAGCCCTTAGTCAGGCAGCTAATTGCAATAACAGACAGGCTATCTTAAAGGTCAGTAAATATTAGAAGGATTTACCCTGAGACTATTTGATCAGGAAATAGCTTGAGCCCCCATTGTCAGGACTAGACAATCAGTGCATAACTCTGGCCCTTGCCATGGGTTCAAGGTTCACCAGCGTTCTGGGATCCTTGTTTGCACTTCTCTGCTAGTGAAGACAATGGGCGGCTTTCTGCACACCCCAGTGATCACATAGATTTGGGAAGAAAGAGGCCCCAGTGAGTGAGTCAGAGCAGAGCAAGCAGCCCCTGTATCTAATAGAAATGTAATGGATTTACCTGTCACATTAAAGGTCACCCAAGGCTCTGTCCATTCAATTTTGATGTTCTTAGTAGGAGCTAACTGGAACATAGGGCCCCTTCAGTTCAAAGCCATCGTGTGGGTAGGTTCTTGTCTGGAGACCCTCCAGCTCCTGGAACAGCCCATCTTTTAATGGTCACACTTGCATGGTTTTTGAGGAGGCCCCTTCCCAGGGCATTCCTTTTCCAGTGTCCTTCTTGTCCGCAGGGTGGTTTTTTTGCTCTTCCTTTGCCCTTAGTTGTTAAAAACATTGAAAGCTATTTCTACCAGTTACTCAGTGGGGGATCTGGGGTCCCAAGGCTAGTTTTTCTAACTTTTTCCTAATGTCTGGGGCTGCCTGCTGGATAAAACCCATCCTCAGATGCTTTGCCCTCAACATATTTGTGGTTGAGGTTTGTGTACTTTTGTAAAGCTTTTGTTAATCACTCCCGAAAAAGGGAAAGGTTTTCATTCTTTCTTAGAATAACCCTTTTTATGTTGTCATAATTAACAGGCTTAATAGTACAGTTTTTATCTCTTCTATGAGATAAGTAACCATATGGGTCCAGCGGTCCCTTTCCTCTTGTCCTTCATCTGTCCCAGTTTTATAGACCCAGTTAGTGTCCTGATCTGGAATTGCATCTCCCCTTGGTTGGTATGTGATGTTTAGCATGACAACCAGTTAATTCATCAGCATAGGCCCTTGCAGCTCCTATTATGCGCTGCTTTTCATCTACAGTACAGCAGTGGGAGAGAGCAATTTGTAAATCATTCCAAGTTAAATTGTAAATCAATGTCAAGTGATTACACCCCTCTATGAATTTGCTAGGGTCTTCGGAAAAGGAAGCATGTACTTGAACAACTCCTTCACCAATCTCCCTGTTTGCTACTTCCCTCAGAGATAACATGTTAGGGTTTGGGTGATAATAAGTTCTGCTCCTGGTACTGGCAGGACTGTAAGCAGGTGCCGACAATTCTGCTGTGGAGGGAGGATTAAACAGTGGCAGTTGTTCTTTGGAAGGGGTAGTGAGCTGAGAAGCAGCCTGTTCCACCTTTGGGATGGGTTTTGTTTGACCCTCTAGAGCAGTCGTTGGCAAACTGCAGCTCGCGAGCCACATGTGGCTCTTTGGCCCCTTGAGTGTCTCTTCCACAAAATACCACGTGCGGGCGCGAATGTACAGTGCGATTGAAACTTCGTGGCCCATGCGCAGAAGTCGGTTTTCGGCCTGGGAGAGTCTATTTTGAAGAAGTGGCATTAGAAGAAGTGGGGGTACGCTCGCTGAGGTCGACCCCTCAGATTGAGGACGTTTTTAGCAAAGGCCAGCTTAGGAGTACCCTAATTAAGTTAATAACAATGTACCTACCTATATAGTTTAAGTTTAAAAAATTTGGCTCTCAAAAGAAATTTCAATCGTTGTACTGTTGATATTTGGCTCTGTTGACTAATGAGAGATAGATGAAACAAGTATACAAGACGAGTGTGGATGGGAGAGTTGGAAGGGGTCGACCTCAGCGAACGTACCTCAATCAGATTGAGGACGTTTTTAGCAAAGGCCAGCTTAGGAGTACCCTAATTAAGTTAATAACAATGTACCTACCTATATAGTTTAAGTTTAAAAAATTTGGCTCTCAAAAGAAATTTCAATCGTTGTACTGTTGAAATTTGGCTCTGCTGACTAATGAGTTTGCCGACCACTGGTTTAGACAAAGGCTAGAGGAGGGGGAAAAGCATTTAAGGTAAAAAGGTTTTGTCAGACTATTATTTTTTAGAGAGAGGAATTAGGAAATGCATTATTGCTTGTGGAAAAGATAAAGACTTAATGAAAAAATGAACAGAGGAAAATAAAATCAAGTTTTGCATTTTGAATATAATCATTAAGTCTACCCCTAAAAATGTCTCTTTGTTATTCATAGAAATATAAATTTTTTTTTGTAAATAGGACCAGTCTGCCTTTTCTTTCAACTATATTCCATGGCTTTGTATAATAAGTGTGTGTGTGTGTGTATATATATATATATAT